GTCCAAAATCATTGAAAGGGTGGCTTTCAAGCAGATTACAGAATACCTCTCACAAAAGTGTCTGCTTGACCCTTACCAATCTGGGTTCAAAAAGGGCCACTCAACTGAAACTGCTCTGTTAGCAGTGACTGAATCCTTAAAAGAAGCTAGAGCGACTGGCAAATCCTCAGTGCTTATCCTGCTCGACTTATCGGCTGCATTTGACACTGTCAACCATGGCTTCCTTTTGTCCGCACTCTCTAGCTTGGGCATCACAGAGAAAGCACATGCCTGGTTTGAATCGTACCTCACAGGACGATCATTCAGCGTATCTTGGCTTGGACAGTCCTCTACCGTGCACCACCTTGCCACAGGAGTCCCCCAGGGCTCTGTACTAGGACCTCTTCTCTTTGCCATATACACCACCTCACTGGGTGAGATCATTCGATCACATGGCTTCTCCTACCACTGCTATGCAGACGACACCCAGCTCTATCTGTCATTTCCACCGGACGACCACACTGTCTCTGCACAAATATCAAACTGTCTCTCTGACATCTCACAATGGATGAAATCCCACCATCTCCAACTCAACCTCTCTAAAACTGAAGTGCTTGTCATCCCAGCAAAACCATCCATACAGCACAATATCTCAATCCAGAATGACTTCCTATCTCTGGCTCCTTCAAAGGCAGTTCGAAATCTGGGTGTTGTGATTGATGAACACCTGACCTTTAAAGATCATGTTGCCTCTGTTGCCCGTTCATGCCGCTTTGCGCTGTACAACATACGAAAGATCAGACCATACCTAACACAACATGCCACCCAGCTCCTGGTGCAATCTACTGTCATCTCCCGCATCGACTACTGCAATGCACTTCTAAATGGTCTTCCAGGCTGTACTGTGAGACCTCTTCAAATGGTCCAGAACGCAGCGGCGCGTCTGGTCTTCAATCAGCCAAAAAGAGCACACGTCACCCCTCTGTTCATTGAGCTCCACTGGCTACCGCTAGCAGCACGCATCAGATTCAAATTGATAACACTAGCATACAAAGTCCGAGACGGTACGGCTCCCATCTACCTGAATCCTCTTGCAAAGGCTTACGTCTCGGCCCGGCCGCTCCGGTCATCACAGGATTGTCGGCTAGCAGTGCCTACACCACGCTCAGGACAATCCAGACTCTTCTCATGCATCGTTCCACAAATGTGGAATGACCTTCCAAACACTACCAGAACTGCGGCTTCCTTTTCTATTTTCAAGAAACTCCTGAAGACCCTGCTATTCAGAGAGCATCTTCTTAACTAGCACCTTGCCTGCACCCGTCCCCCCTCTCTACTGTCCACTCCTTGTTCCCTCCTCTCCATGACTGATGTCAATTTGTTGTTGTTACTATTGTTGTTAGCCTCAAGGGCAAAATGCCGATTATCACTTGTAAGTCGCTTTGGACAAAAGCGTCTGCTAAATACATAAACATAAACATAAATATCTTCAAACCGCAAAGATTGGTGTCAAACATGAACTTGAAATGGTTCTCCATGTCCTTATCTCCTCCTGTCTAGATTACTGTAACACACTCTTCACGTGTTTTAACAGAAAAGCCCTTGACTGCCTTCATTTGGTCCAGAACTCTGCAGCAAGGCTCCTAACTGGAGCAAACAGAAGAGCAGTCATCACTCCTATTCTGATGTCATTGATGATAACATTTATGTAATTGTATTTTTTGTAGTCTTTTACATTTTGCACTAAAGATAGTGGCACTCCAATGTTGTTGTACTCTGTACAATGACAATGAAGGCTATTCAGTTCTATTCTATTCTATTCTATTCTATTCTATTCTATTCTATTCTATTCTGATGTCTCTCCACTGGTTACCCGTTAACTTTAGAGTTCATTTTAGAATCCTGACTAGAACTTTCAGGGCTCTACATGGTCAAGCTCCTCCCTATATTACTGAACTGTTTCAGCCTTATGCTCCAACCCGAGCCCTCAGGTATAAAAAAAACATAGGCACAAAGTGCCTGGGACAACTATTACATTAACGTGGTGGACCTGTGAATATGGGTGGGGACTGGGGACAAATCTGAGAGGAAAGAGCAGAGGATAGAAAAAGAAAGGTGAGGAGACCAACTGATGAGGACAGGCAGTAACAAAGTGTCTATGGCAAGCCATCTTCACAGTTAATCATCGGACCTGTGTAATGCCTATTTTATACAGCAATTATTTCATTTATCCTAGTACTAACTGTATTCTTATTACTTAAACAGCAAATGAAGCTATGTTGTTACTAGTAGAGATGTATCCGTAATAACAACTGCACTAGTAGGAATGAAGTTTAAGGTATCTCAAAATTGCAAGTAACCAGTGAGTTGACCAAACAAGCGAAACATACTCACCACCATCAGTCTGCTTCCAGTTTCGATACCGCTGCTGTCTTTTATTTTTGTGGTAATCTCGAACCAGTTACTGATCTCTTCTGTTGATGGATTGTTTTAGTTTTACCCTTACCCTACAAACCTCAATGCTCCAGTACTGCGTGCAATGCTGCAGTGCACGCAGTACTGGAGCATTGATGCAAGTACGTGAACAATGCGCAGCCTTGTGAGGTCAAAAGGCAAGTATGTTCCCAGCCTCAGGTGTAAATCTGATTGTCTAACGAACTGATTATGCTTGTTCAGTTGGCTTCTGGTACTTTAGCACATATATACTTAGAACACATTGCTACGGCTAACAGCCTGGCCAGTGAGATGCAGGAGCCAAGATCACCCAGCCCTGGTGATCAGTCTGACACTGCCCCTCCTCCCCCTCTCTTCCAGGCTGCTGAGGAGCACAGCTGAGCTGAATTCTGCTGATGACCCACACCTGGATTATAAGGCTGTGCCTTCAGCAGTCTGGCAGGCAGCAGTGCAGGGGTTCTGCTGTCCTCCAGGCCTCAGATTATTTTCAACCCCTTCGATTAGAAGAGTTTTAACTTTCATAGTTTTAAACTCTGTGTGATCCACATGGATCTTTGGGTTCATGTCAGACTTAGTTGACTCTGTTTTAAGGTTAACTCGGATTTAGTTTTTAGACTTTTATCAACTTCGTTGTGTTTTTAAAACACCTTCAGTTTGGTAAAACTTTGGACAAAGTTTTAACCAGGTGTTTTATATAGTTGATAAGTTGTCTTTTAACTGTTAACCTTATAGTGAATTATTCATTTTGCATTATTTTAATAATGCTCGCCATCCTTTTGCTCTTGTTTTTAGAACCTTTTACAACAATTAAAACCATTTTAACTCCACTGTCGTATTTCTTATGTTACCCCCTCCTTCACATTTTAACATCTCCTGTCGGGGACGTAACACACATAGTGTGGGACTGCTGAGCTTCACTAAAGCATGTCTGTCCAGATGGATAGAAAATCTGAGCACTTTCAGCTGACAGCTGGTGGGGAAGTATGTGGAGGATGAAGAGAGCTATACGCTCCAAGTTAAAATATTACCCATAACACCTAGAGTTCATCCCGGAGCGCCTACTTGTGTACATACACAATATGTGTCTATGATTGTTTGCATGTGGAACAAAGACAGCCTATATGTCAAAGTATATCTGTAGTTAACGTGACAGCGCATATGAATCTGCAACATCTGGCATGACTTCAGGAAGCTGAAGGATGACCTGCGCCTACACACACACTCCACGAAACCCTCACTGGGATGAAAAGGTTGCACAAGCCCACTCACACTTTTATTCATTACAGTTGTGTTTGAGCAGGATGTCAAACACACCCTTAGGTCAACAACCTCAACTTAAATTTGCTCACATGGAGATCATCTCTGTCTAAAAATAGCAAACTCAACTCAGCGAGAGGCTAAATCACTACACGCAAACATATGCACACTTGGCACACAGTAGTTAGCAGTCCGTGATTCAAAGTGAAAAACACATCAACAGCTTCCTGTGGTGAACATCCACAATGCCATTTATAACAGTGGTTCCCAAAGTCAGGGTCAGGAGCCCACTGGGGGTCATTAAACTCCGAGGGAGAGGACACCACCACAAGCATGCATGTGAAAACCATGGCTAGAACCCTCCATCAGAAATCAGAAACAGTATTTATAATAGAAATGATATCATAGTTGTGCTCATTAGTAATATATGTGTACTTCTGTCAATGATGGTTGTGGTTTGTGGGTCAGAAGCTAAAAACATTAGGAACCACTGAGTCAGCCAATCTGAATTAAAAAGAGAGATCATATCTCTCCTGTCTTAGCTTCCCTATATTGTCTGCCTGTTAAATTCAGAATAGACTTTACGAGCCTCCTTCTCACATATAAAGCTCTTAACAATCAAGCTCCATCATACATCAGTGACCTGATTGTTCCATATGTTCCTAACCGAGCACTTCGGTCTCAGACAGCAGGTTTACTGATGGTTCCCAGAATATCTAAAAATAGGATGGGAGACAGATCTTTTAGCTATCAGGCTCCTCTCTTGTGGAACCAGCTCCCAGCTTTAGTCCGTGAGGCAGACACCTTGTCTACTTTTAAGACTAGACTTAAAACATTTTTATTTGATAGGGCCTATGGTTAAAATCTGATGTTAGCCTAGATCTGGACAAGTGAGGGAGTAGAGGGAGGTGGCGTGTACAGTCGGTAAAGACGGCTCTCCCTTGCCCTGACTCTAGATGTTTGTGTGTGTGTGTGTGTGTGTGTGTGTGTGTGTGTGTGTGTGTGTGTGTGTGTGTGTAACTGTGGATGTTTGTGTGTTTGTGTGTGGGCAGCAGTAGCTCAACAGGCCTCTGTCAGTGCGCCCTAGGGCAGCTGTGGCTACATCGTAGCTCATCACCACCAGTGTGTGAATGTGTGTGAATGGATGAATGATACACTGCAGTTTAAAGCGCTTTGGAGTCCTTACTCTGAGAGATGCTATACAAGTGCGGGTCATTTATCATTCATCATTGTTTGTGTGTGTGTGTGTGTGTGTGTGTGTGTGTGTGTGTGTGTGTGTGTGTGTGTGTGTGTGTGTGTGTGTTTCCTACCTGGTCCATTAAGGAAATCTTTGATCTGGAAGCAAAGCAGAGGAGGAGGAAGTCCCGTTTTCCTGTCAACCTCTCCTGCTGCTGTCTGCAGCCAAAACACACTGTAGTCCAGAGATTCTGGCAGAGTCTTTCCTGGGTCTGGACAGAGTTAGACCAAAAGGAAGCCTTTAGGCTGTTGGTGAACCATCATCAGTTATAAACCTATAAACCTTCATCATGACAGGAAACCCTGTTAGAAACCTTCTCTCACCTAAGCACATGTAGTTAGACGCTACTCCTTTCAAGGACACATCAAACACAGACAACTCCATCTTCTGCTTTCGATGGTGGCAGCTAAGCAGAACAGAAGGCTGCATAAGCTGCAGGTACAGGAGGGGCTCCACCAACTGGTCCCCAGCCCCTCTCCTCCCCGGCTGCCTCACTATGGTAACACCCAGTGCTTGGCGGGCTGAGGAACGGCTTGGAGTGGGAAGGCCATCGAGTGACAGCAGGCTTCCTCTGGGCAGTGGGGAGGCTGGCTGAGAGGTGTTGCTGTTGAGAATGTCCTCCGCTGTCAAACCAGCAAGTGACCCCTGAGCAGCAAGGCTTTGATCGGGCTTTGAGGAGGTAGAGGCTGGAGGAGCCTCAGATGTGATCTCAGGATGATTGAGGATACTCTTCCCCATCTAAAACAGGAAGCAGGGTGGCTTAGCAACAAACACAAGAGAGTGACACAATCCTAATCTAGTCACTAGTGTGCTTATCACCTTATCTCCAGGGTCCTTCTTCTCAGGTGAGTTTGGTGTATCAGACAAAGTGGTGAGAGCTTTAGGGGTACTGGAGCAGGCATAGGTCATCACAGAGAGTTTACTGGCAGTCAGGAAGATGTCAAAGGGGATGAAGCTGAGGTTCTTGGTGATGGTGGATTTACGAGAGGGCCTAGCAATGCAGTGGTGGCTGGCCCCACTCTGCTGCTCTATCTGGACGATGCGGATGCGAGCACTGTCACTGCCAAAGCCGCTGTCCTGTCCCGTCCCACTGTGACGTGATGAGGAGTCGCTGCTTGCTGCAGGATCTTGACGGCCACGCTTTTGCTCTTGTCGACGAGCCTACACGGACAAAACACAGGAAGGTGAAGTCACACCGACAATGATGCAGATGCTTTTGTGAACATTTAAGGCTGAAAGGCAGCAGACAGAAGCAGCCTCAGCTGGGATGAGCTCCCATCTACCGCGGGATAAACAGAATGGAACGTTTTTAATTGGTTTCTTGTGTGGGTCTTGTTTTCCACAATGACACACACCAAATCCTCACAGACAAATTGACCAAAGAAGAAGAGCAGGGTTCAGCCACAGACATAAAAGCACGCTCTGGGACTTTTTCTGTGGTTAAAAATCATTTTGCACTTCTTGCAATATTGGAAATGCCTTGAAAAAAAAGGGCTTCACCCCAGCACATGAAATAGTTTTGTGCAGCGACTGTGGTGTCGTGCTAAAGGCAGCAGAGGTTTTCAGCTAGCGGATGTCGCTTCCAGAGCTTTCAGTGACAGATTATATAAATCAATGTGAGGAGGTTTCTGGGTTTCCAAAGACAAAGAAAACAGCCATCTTTATTCTGCTACCAAGGCATGCCATCCATGAAGAGGCCACCAGTAGTTCCTATGGGATGGGACTGGGTCCAGCATGTGAAGCAGTTGCCTACCAAACACGCAGAAACCAGCTCTCAACAACAACCCAAGTGTATCAACTGGAGCTGAGACTGGAACACGCACCATCAAACCATCTCCTCAGGTACGATGGAGCCATTAATCTCTGTTTTCAACACCGCTCCAGCGTTTTTAAGGCAGATCCCCAAGGTTTCCTAATCATGGTAATGGAAGCCGTGTCAGTTCCTATTAACTACTGCTGCCTTTGAAGCGTGATTTTGATGAATTGCAAAATGCAGGACAGACCAAAGGTGTGTCCCCCTCTATCCCACCTCCGTCCTGCATATGGTTACTATTACAGCACATACTCGCAGCTGCACCCCCCACTCAATGAAAATTTTAAATGTATATTATTTCTGTGGTGGAGATAGTGTTTCAAGACCTCCAGGCACATACTAAACCAACTGGCAGCACATTAGACAGAATACTTGACTTATTAGATATTTCCTATTCAAAACAGTGTCATCAAAGGCTAACACAAGAGCCATATAAAAGGCAGCAGCATGCCTGCTCTGCTCAACCACGCTCACGTGGTGGGCTTCCATAAGATCGGCCTTGCCAGATCCATCTCCTTTTCCTGCCGTAATGAGGACAGGATGTGTACACTTCTTTTTGTAGAAATGTAAGATTTTCCAAGCAGCAGAAAGGGTCTGGACCTCTCACCATGTGCAATGTGTTAGGTGAGTGAAACATGCATGGAGGTATTTGAGAAGGTATTCAGCAAAGGCATAACATCCACTCCAGAGAGGGCCTCGCGCTGGACAGGAAGTATAAGCTGCATGGCTGAAACCGCCAGAAACTCTTCCTGAGCTCAGACTCTACACATGCACTCACAATTACAGAAAATACCCCGTCCTCTCCCAACTACCCCACTGCTAAGAGAGTTCCCCCCCCCCAGGGAACTTAAGCCGTGCTTGAAAGTGAAATGTTGGGATGATGGGGAACACAGCTGGGAGCACAGAGACTATGGCACCGTTCACAACACTCGTGCAGTATCACAAACACAAGGGGTAAGTTTGGTGAAGTCACAAACACAGTAAGGCCATTAGTGTTTAACCCTTTCATAAAGGAAAGATGTCATGTACACACAGACACGCATCTCCCCTAACAACAGCTGAACCACGAGCTGTAGCTACAGGCCCCGTCCAGCAGGGACCTGCTGTTGCATAACGGCTTCACCAAAACACTTCCCACATCCGACGTAATTTTTATCTGGACTTAGCCGGTCACAGTCATGAACCCCGCACGCACGCACGCACGCACGCACGCACAGCCATTCCCTCAGAGACCCCATACAGAACTTTCTGGAAAACAGAGAATACTCCCCAAAGTGTGAAACCACGAGTCTCCCAAGTGCCAATCATGTCAGAGCACATCTGTACAAATTCTGACCCTTTTTCTGTCCGAGTCAGTCAGAACATCTTGTCTGGAGGCAAGCTAACACTCAGAATCTAATGTCACATCATCCAAATGTCACCCGTTCACAGCGCTGGCCGGCTCGTCAAATATGACAACACAACGTTTACATGTGGAAACTACATGAGTGAGTGATGGTTTCCAGATGAACGAAAGGTTGGTTGCAATTTAGGTTCAGAGATCAGGGAACAGGAAAACCTGGATGTTTCAGCATGCTAGGGAAGTCCATGATGGCTGACAGGAAATGATAAAATAAGCACACTTAAATAAGACAGTGGTTATTACTCTTTAGCAAATAGTGTCTTTAGCAGCCACAGACGTTTTTACTATCTGAACCCGGACTCGTTAGGTTACAGTGATCTTTGTCTGATGAGTACATATATGGAGACAAGTCCATATCCACAGACTCGTAGAAGAAGTCTTTAAAGTCAGAGCTTTAGTTCTTTAGGTTCCCCACATGTTGGTCATCTTCACAGACAAATCCCTCTATTTAAACTATTACATGTTAATGATGAAACTAAAGGTGATCAGGTTACTGATCACCTGGTTATTAAAACACACCCGATGCCTCGGCTGTCTAGATGAGAAAATATCCCTCTTTATAAACACTTTAAAGCTATTTTCTCATAAGTCGTTTTATCTAAACACCTCTGGTCCACAAGGAAGTCCCAACTAAAGTTCAAACATCTCCACTGTGTGGCCTGGAGGAGCAGCGCAGCACAAACATGCTTGTTTAAAAAAACCCAGAAACAACACCCAACTAAGGATGGGCACCAAATTAGGTACTTTTTAAGGCACCTACCGAGGACCAAAACACATGATATGAAACAGTGCCTTGTTTCCGTACCTGCCCTTCATTATTAAATTCAGTTTATTTATAAAGCACCAAGTCAGGACCAGAATCGTCTCAAGGACCTTTGCACAGTAAACATCCCAATACAGATCAGGTCATTAAGCCATCAGTAAAACGTTTCCTATAAGGAACCCAGCAGGTTGCATCGAGTCACTGACTAGTGTCAGTGATTTACAGCAATCCTCATATTAAGCAAGCATGTAGCGACAGTGGAGAGGATAACTCCCTTTTAACAGGAAGAAACCTCCAGAGGTTCCTGGCTCAGTATAAGCAGCCATCCTCCACGACTCACTGGGGATCGAGAAGACAGAGCAGACACACACACACACACACACACACACACACACACACACACACACACACACACACACACACACACACACACACACACACACACTATGGTTACATTGTGATTTCTTAGTAAATATTCTATTTGGTGAGAGATAAACTTTATTGTATTTATCTTAGTGAATCTATAATTAAATGGGTAAACTAGTAGTCGCAAATTCCATGTCACGCCGGGGACACACCGGCCGCGGAAGCGCCGAGAAGCGAATCGCTCGCGAAATTCGGCAGCTGTTCGCCGCTCCTCAGTTCAGATCAGACGTGCCCCAGTCGAGGCGCGCCTCGGCTCAGCTGTAGTTTTTCTTTTAAACACTTGGTGTCCTCCATTTCCTCTCTGCCTTTTCTCAGCTCTTTTCCTCTACGTTTGAGTGTTTGTACGCATGTGCGTGTGTGTGTGTGTGTGTGTGACCAATGGTATGAACCAGTTGTTTCTGCCAGTTGAATCTCCTGGAACCCGCTCCAATTCTGCAGCTGTATCCTAGCAATTTCTTCTGAAATGGGTACGTAAATAAACATGTTTTTCGGGGGTCGTAAAGCTCCTTGTGTTTCTCAACTTCCATAATTAATTTAAAGTCATCCATCCTAACTGCTTGCCTCAGACTTTCTGCCTCTCGGTCATGTTTGCTCCGGTGAAAAGACACCCAAAACCACTCCTACCTTCACGTGGTCACACACGCACACAAGTTTGATGTGTGTGTATGTGTGTGCGTGTTCGTGTGTTTTTTCTGCAGCGTCGGATTACTAACACATTTGACTATTGCGGAATTTTATTTTGAAATGCTTTATTTTGTTAACTTTACCGGCCTGCCTCTTATGTCTAGGTTTGACTTCCTGCCAGAATTGACGCGATTCACCTGCGGCTCGCGAAAAAAATAGAGCCAACGCCGAAATGATCGCTGCACGGCGCGGGCTGGAGCGCCGGCGCGAGGCGATTCGCGGCGCGAGGCGGCCCATGTGCTCTATAGAATAGCTTAACAAGGGCGCCGAATGAAGGCGGTCCCATTTTCCCGGCGCTTCGCGGCGCTTCCGCGGCCAGTAAGTCCCCGGCGTCAAAGTGAGTAAAATGTTATTATCAGGAGAAGAAGAATGTTTAAGTGGTTAGCAGCAGTGTGCTAGCCGATGGCAGCCTCCATGAGGCCACCACAGCTCAGCAGAACATCGTTGTAGCTTCTTCTGGGGAGAAAAACACTTAAGCCGGGTGGACACTGAGACTTTTTCCACTGGTAGCATTCAGCTTCAGCTCAAACTGTATGACTGCGTGGAGCTGGGTTTCACGTTGTATGACATAAGCTTTTCATATTGAAGAATTTAGTACAACACTACAATGATAGAATACTAACAGTCGGATGTGATATTTATCATATATGGTTATGAGAAACACTATATATAATTAAATAAAAAAGAGATTTAATTAATTAACTATTAAACACCCAAAAGTTTCAGAAACTGGTACCGTTAAGTACCGGTATCGGTTTCTAGGTACCAGGAATTGGTACCGTATCAGTTCAGATGCCAAAGGTACCCATCCCTACAGCAGCAGAACTGAGGTCCTGATCAGATTAAACCTTTACCTTGGTGTCAAATAAAAACAGTTATGGTATGGGTTCATTCGTAATGTAAAAGTGTTTATCTCATTAAAAACATAAACCTGTATGTTCCCATGTTCTCCCGTAACTCCCGCCATAGAAGTGTAGGAAGTGATCACTAATCTCTGACATCACTACACAGCTGAGCCACCAGCCTGAGGAAGCCTGTGTGAAATAATCAGCATCTGCAGCTTGACGGGATCC